CGAATGGCCACTCAATTTTTCGTCAATGACTTATGTCTGTTAACGGTATGCAACTGTGCATGCAGTTCAGTCTTTCGTCAATAGATACAGCTATTGCGGCCAATGTTACAATTGACCCTCTGTTTCAACCGACACCACTCTCCCTATCGTTTGTCATCGTATGGACTCAGAGCGATTTTCGATTCGGATATCGTGTATACTTCGTGCAGTTTAGATCTTATACACGATTGACGACGAGTCATTTCAATCTCTTCGTTCAAACACCGCGTGTAATCCTCGAACGTTATCGTTCGCGCTACGACGTTACTCTTTACGCCTTTCGCTTTTTTAGTGTCCTTTTTACCATCCACCCTCACTGCGTACATCTTCGCTCTGAGACCAGCGAATTCGGTCATTATCGCATCATTATTTTCGTCCTTCATCAGACCTGGTACCTTTTTGTTCGCGAGAGGCATACCGTACGCATTATTTGTCGGATAATCGCTCGTGTCGAATCTAGCGATATCGCGTTTCATAATCTCGTAAACGTCCTCGCACTCGACGTGGTATATAAGACTATCTGTGTCGGTGTACATAATTTTACATTTGTCGCGAAACAGTGGTAACATATACTCGTGATGAAATTCGTACAAGCAGACTTTCGATATGTCGAGTATACACATGCCCACGTAAATCGGCTTGTCGAACTTCACCTCGAGTTTGCACATTTTCGCGATCATTGCCTCCGCGCCGTATCATCCATCCCATTTTGTTATTAATTTTACGTCGACGAGATTGCGCACATTCTCCATAGTCTTGCCGAAAACCGCGTTGTTCATTAATTTGTATAAATTTTTTTCGAAATCGTTTCTCGCGCGAGTTCTAAATTGTGTATTAAGTTCAATATAATCGCGGAGCCATGGAGATTGAGTAAATTGTAGTATTCGATGAATCTTTGTTAGGCAAAGACCGTGACGAGTACATTGTTGCAAGTTTCGGTAGTGGATGACGTAACGCTGTTTATCGTACAGCATCGCTAGAAGTTTATCCTCGCGCTTGCCGGGCGGCTTATGGCGCATCGGGCAGAAAGGCAGGTCAATGTGTTGATCGCGCAGATGCTGCGGATATTCGAGATCGACTTCGAGAATGTAACCGGTGGGCGAATCCGGAGCTATCGCGCTCGCGTCAAAGTTCGCAATCAAAGTCTTTGACCCATCGAAATTCAGCGTATGGCAATGGTTGACACATGGCCCTCCCGTATAAATTGTTAACGTCGTAGTACATCAAGTATGACGATGGTTTCGATGAGTCGTACGAACACATGTACTAGTTATTAGCTTGCGTGTATCTACCGGAACATTGACTGATGCCACCACCGCGCTCGATGAACATGACCATATCGATGTCGGTGAGCAACTCAAATCTTACGCGGGTATATTTTAGCATTGCGTCCCACGTGAAACCAGGCAAGGTGTAATAATGCGTGGGATCGAGACTGTAACTCGCGATACAACTTTCACGAAAATTTTCGAAAATGTCAGCCAATAACAAGACATCTGTTTTCAAGTACAGATCACCGTACTCGCCGAGCGTTCGGATGGAAAATCGCTGCCATACGTTCACGGCGTGAGCGTAATCGCTCTCGGATACTGTATCGCCCATCAACGAACTATAAAATGATTCGCGAGGTGGCAAGCATCGCTTATTTAATTTGTCGACGCAGTCAACGTACTCGTACGGGAATACGCCTTTTCGCGTGAGTAATTCAAATTCTTCGTCCGATTATGTTGGAAATTTGGAACGTACGATTATTGATTTGTCTTTGCTTAGAAACGACGCCAATTTATCGAGGCTTGTACTGAGAAATTTATAGGAATCAATAAACCTTAATTTTACGCAATTTTTTTGAAAATGATTTTCGTTTTTATCTTTGGTGCTATCGACATGTTTCGTGAACGAAATATATTTTTCTTTGGTTATCGGTAGTATATCTACATGTCCGTCGTACGCGGTAGCTATTTCTTTAATTATAAAGTGCGCGTCGTACCCCGACAAGTTGTGAAATACAACTGGAATATTAAATGAATTTTTATAATTAAAAAAAAATAAGTAAATTCTTATGACTCTTGAGTTTTCAATAGTCTATGTCAATAAGGCAAATGAGAGTCAGGCGCGGTAATCGGTGCGCAATAAAAACAGTAAAGAATTAATAATAGTAAATTCTTACATAAATGTATTTAAATAATTCAATGTTCACAAATTTCGAACGTTTCGGCCGCACTTTGGGCCATCTTCAGCGTAATACATATAAGTTTCGCACATTATACAAACGTAAAAAACCGACTTTTTCGGGAAGATACTTGAATTTTTTATCTTCACATCCTTTGTCACAAAAAAGAGGTGTGATTTTTGGAATGATTGACCGAGTCTTTTTCTTATCGCATCCGAGATTCCATCAGAGAAATATAATTTCTGTGATTGACATTTTACTGAATAATGATTATCCATTGGATTTTATATTTAAGACAATTAACTTACGTCTGAAATCACTCTTTTATAATCAAACGATGAAACAGAACAATGTGAATTCTAATGACACAAGGGACGAAATGAAACCATGGATTACTTTGCCGTACATTCCGCAAATTTCTGACAAATTCATGAATATTTTTAATGATGTGAACATCAGATTATCTTTTTACAGTCTCAATAAATTGAATAAATATATTAAAGTTCACAAAGATGTAATTCCGACTAACTCAAAAAGAGATGTTGTATATCAAATTACTTGTAAGGATTGTGATGCAACCTATGTCGGTCAGACGGGTAGAAGATTACAAACTAGGATTTTAGAACATAAAAATCATATTAATAGGAACACGACCACACAATCGGTTATTACAGAACATAGGTTGGAACACAATCATGAATTTGATTGGTTGAATGTTAGAGTATTGGATACAGAGAGATTTTTGAGCAAGCGCTTGATATCTGAGATGATTTACGTTAAACTACAGAAAAATAGCTTGAATTGCCAATCTGACACCGAATACTTAAATAATGCATTTATGGAGATTATTAATAATCTTTGAGGTGTATTGATTTGTTATTTCATTCAACGTTCTTTAGGTTTATTTTCAATATGATCATTACATGTATATTAGTCTTTAGTTTTCTCCGTCCTTATCTGTTGACAAATTACGGTGACATGTACATCTTATATGTTGTTTTCTTAACGATTCTGACTTTCATAGCGATAACATCTTCGTAATTTAATCCGAATTTTTCTTTTGTTAATAATTTTAAACCAGTGATATTTAAAGCCCTTCTTGCGTTCTTATCTGCAGGTGAGTTATTTAAGTATATTTTTGTTGATTACACCTTTCAATACAAAAATTCAGCTTATTGAATGAGATTCGTTCTATCTTAGGATATGTAATTTTACATTACATCTTTGTCTTGGTAACAAATTGATTGGATGAAACTTACATCAGAGCGACTACTCGATCTGTGGCTAAGATTGCAAGGAGATCTTTACGTTTGTATAACGTGCGAAACTTAGATGTATTACGCTGAAGATTGCAAGGAGATGTTTACGTTTGTATAATGTGCGAAACTTATATGTATTACGCTGAAGATGGCCCAAAGTGCGGCCGAAACGTTCGAAATTTGTGAACATTGAATTATTTAAATACATTTATGTAAGAATTTACTATTATTAATTCTTTACTGTTTTTATTGCGCACCGATTACCGCGCCTGACTCTCATTTGCCTTATTGACATAGACTATTTTATAATTAAGATTACAATTTGAATGTGCTGGACCACGGTATCTACCGGTTAAATGGCAATGATCGCGGACCCGCGTATCGTCCGACGCGAACGGCTTCTCACAAATATGACAACGCGTCGCGCTGCTGTACGCCTCCCATTGCTGCTTAGATAAAGCTTCCATGGGCACGTTGGCGGATATAATATCTTTGATGCGATGCGCCAAATCATTGAGCTGTCGCGCGAACCATGCTATACCGTTTTTGTCGCGATGGAACTGATATGCTGATAACGTGTCATCGTACGAACATCGCACGTAGTATCCTAAATACCTCGTGCCGCTGATACTCGTACGACGACGCGTCTTCCTTGTTGGGCTCCGTCTTCCGCAGGACGCACTCCAAGTCGGCGTACACTACGAACGGTACGCGTTCCCGGTTACAGTGGTTGCCAAATTGAAGCCACCTGTCTTTCTCACTCGGCAGTCGGATGGCGCAGTCGTTCATCTTCTGGCAGTCCACTTCGTGCGTCTGCAATTTTTGGCCCGAGCCAAAATAATGTAGGCACCTGTAAATAAAAAAAAAACGAAAAAAATTATTGCTATTACAATTATTTTTTTTTATTAGTAAGATGGAAAATAATAATTTTTTATGTGCACTTACCGATCGCAGAAAAATTTCTTGTTCTTCTTTCTGCTGAGTTGTGAACTCACGAGACGGGACACATTTTTTATCCATACAAAGAGGCCGACACCGTCGTTGCATAGATCTTGCATGTACAGCACGTTGACATCTTTCTCCTGCTTGTCGCTGGTGAGCCGTAGAGGAAGGACCTGTTTATTCTCGATGCCGTACACGTTGAT